TATTATTATTATTAAAATCATTATTATTTGCGTACTTTTATATGATAGCCATAAAAGTTTTTCAGGATCAGGGAGCACCTCGAATCACAAGTATTCAGCTGTAGCAAAACTACACTATAATAAGGACAGGGAAACAACCCTTATAATCACATGAAACAAAGAAATAAACGCAAAGGTAAAGTAAAGTTCTGGACGAAAAAAACCCATAGAGAAGAATAGAATTGGATTCTTTCTCTGGTGTTCTCTTTTTATGCGTACTGAACGACTGTTAACAATCTTGTCATTTAATTTCACTCCTTCATTTTAAAGCATATTTTTACACATCATGAAGAGATGTGCATACGACATTTAATTAAATACACTGTAGCCTTCTGCAGGAAACTAATTTACTTACTAATCTCAAGAGCCCACAGCTCAGGAGAGAAAAACGGGACAGAAATTGAAATATTTATATTTATACGTCTTCTAATGCCGTGCAAATTAAATATTCTTACTAGGAAGTTTGATTCGCCTTGCTGCTTTGGGTTTGTTTGTTGTTGTTGTTTTGTTTTTTTAATTGAAGTAGTCATCTTGACCGAAAAAACAAACAAACAAACAGACAAACAACAACAACAACAACAACAACAAAAACAACAACAACAACAACAACAGAACACAAAGTATATCAAACATGGCTACAGATATTATGCCATTTCAAGGCTGGAAATCCTACGCAAGAATAATAAATCTTCTGCCAGCAGCCAAATTTAGGCATTTGTGAGGCAGTGTGTTGAAGTAAGGCACTCGTCAAAATAATGAAAATCAAGAAATTGGCATTTTCCCGCAGGTTTGGAAATTGTTATCGAATTTTTGTTTTTTCGGCTCAACACCATTAAAGTAGAAAACATTTTTGTGTGCATTTTACTTTTTCAAAAAACATTGATTAGAGGAAATTGTTTTGTTTTTGTAAGTGTTTTACGGCGCTCGCAACTGCATAAGGTCATATGAGCGCGCGGGGCACAATAAACTTTATCAGTTTTTAGTTGGTAAGAAATTCTGAATTTTGCCCGGGTGGCGGCCAAAGCCTACTCTTATCGATTTTAGACCACCAAGGGATTTTTAACGTGCCCAACTTGCACACGGTCCCTCCGAGATTTTTCGCCCTTGTCCGAGAAGGTTAGGTGTAGATCTTTCCTACCAGAAGATCAGGGGTGTGGCTGAAAGACAGCAATAAGAAGAAGCCAAGGAGTAGCAGTAGAAAGGCTGTAGAAAGAATCAGGAGCCCAGAGGAGGGGGGCAAAGGAGATGAGGGGGTGGGGGCAGAAAGAGGAGACGAAAGCAGACAACAGAACATTGTTAGAGAGCAGGAAAGAAGGTGAAAGAAGACAAACTTAGAGAAGAAAATTTGTCGGTCACTACGCGGATTCGAACCCGGGACCTTTGAATGAGAGGCCAAGGCCTTAACCTCTAGGCCACGAAAGCCCCCTTAGAGGAAATGAAAAAGAACTTTTAGAAAACAATAACAAACTTACTTTTTAAAGCG